GGTGCCGAGTTCCCCCGAATTTTAGAGATCACGATGCTAAAATAATTTCTATTTGACGTAGCAATATTTTTACCGTAGTTTTATTCAACAAGGCAAGTTACATTGGGTCGGCTACAGTATCACAACTGAAATATGTGTTATGTAAATCTTATTCTTCTCTATTATCATTATTCAGTATTTCGCTCTCCCTGAAGTAGAGGTCACAAATCCGTTATTTAATAAACATTTAGAGAAGAAAATTGTTGTCACTGTCATACTTTGTCTGATGTAAGGGCGACATGCTTTCTCCTTCCTCACCACGTCTTCCGCCCAGCTGTATTTACTTTTGATCGACAGATGGTTGGCAAGCGCCACTGACTACTTTTTTCCCCCTGGGTTGTTACGGTCTCTCTATCTTGCTTTTCCCGGCACTAAATGATCGTTTTTCTGTTGGTATGCTTCTTTTTACTCAAACAAACTAAACACATCTTCAGTTGGGGTCTTTGGTGTAGCGGTTAGGCGCTTCTGCGTGGCTGTCAAAAGGTAGGCGTTCGATTCATGTGTGGTAGGAAGGGTTTTAATGAGTATCTCTGTCTGTCTGCTTGGACGATGTGTCGCTCTCATCCCTGGTTGGCCCTCACAGGCAGTGTTGAAGCAGAGCAGCTCACCTCATTTATCATCTAAATAGTGTTGGTCGAGGTGTAAAACACCTACAGTTTCAATTCAGATCGCGCGCAAGACTACAGGTCCAGTCACGTTGCCACAAGACGGTTAATTGGTCACTTTTAAGTACAAAGGGGCTATCCCGAAAGATGCTTTTATTTATTTATTTATTTATTTTTGGAAAATCGACGGTAAAGTTTGTTTTCCCTTGTTCAGTTTCTTTAAAAGACAAGATTTTTTTCTATAACCAAACTTCTCCTATAGGTAGGGCAAAGCCCACTTCTAGTGTAGGTCAAGTTTTTTTTAAACCCCCGAATTCTCCTTTAGCCCGCTTGTCCTTAAAAGCGACCAATTAACGCTGTTGTGACTAGCATGGGCGGTAACTCGAACTATAGCAACAGAATAGTAATTATGTTCTGCGTTCTGAAAAGATCTCTTTAAGCAGCAAGACCCCGAAAACTGTTGACCTGCTGCCGACGTCATAATGTAATTTTTAGCCGCTTTTGGCGTCCGTTTAACTCTTAAATCATAACCCTCGCTAAAAGTAAAAGATTAAATAAAAACAAGGCAGCTGTGAATAAAATACTTTGACCTCTTTCCTTGACCTACAGAGCAAATGATGTCATTTGCGTGGGTTTAGGAACAAAAAGTACTTCTTTTCACTTTTTTTTTTTGGGGGGGGTGGGGTGGAGGTGGGGTGGCTCTCTTTCTCCCCCCCCCCCCCACCCCCACCCCACCCCCTTCCCCTCCGCCCTTCCAAAACTGGGGGGAGGAGAGAAAAGGCAATATTTGACAGATGGGTTTTTCTTCTCACAGAAAACTCACGCGATATAGCAATGACGAGCGTGACGGTCATCCATATTCCAGTCCTAAGTCTGGGCCACCTTTACATGGTTGCTATTTATTTAGTGTTTTTGGCTTCTTATTTCTATTTGCTTTGTTTTCTTAATGGTTTTTTTTTTGGGGGGGGGGTTCAGTTTTTATGGGGGAATGAGGTCTTCTTCTTATTATTATTGTTATTTTTATTATTATTATCATTATTATTATTATTATTATTATTATTTATTATTATTATTATTTTTTAGTAGTAGTAGTAGTAGTAGTAGTAGTAGTAGTAGTAGTAGTAGTAGTAGTAGTAGTAGTAGTATTCGTTGTGTCCTTGGGAAAGGCACTTTACACGAATTTCCCACTTGGCTCGGTCCTATCGGAGACGGACGTTAAATTAGGAGGTCCCGCCTCTTCTTCTTCTTCTTCTTCTTCTTCTTCTTCTTCTTCTTCTTCTTCTTCTTCTTCTTCTTCTTCTTCTTCTTCTTCTTCTTCTTCTTCTTCTTCTTCTTCTTCTTCTTCTTCTTCTTCTTCTTCTTCTTCTTCTTCTTCTTCTTCTTCTTCTTCTTCTTCTTCTTCTTCTTCTTTTTTTCTTCTTCTTCTTCTTAAAAAAACATCGTTTTGTGGTTTAAGGAGTGTAAGCTCTGTAACACAAGCGAAACTCGAAAAGTAGGAGAGCTTCTTTCTTAGACCAGCTTGCGCAACGTTTTACTATGTGCAACGTATGTTTGCGAGTGGGTTATCAGACCTGTCTGCCCTGTACTTCGGTTTAGTATCTCGGGAGATTGCGTCGACAAAGCCAGGCACAATGATGACGCGGTGTGTGGGTGGGTGGGTGGTGCCGGGGCGAGAGCCGCGGGGGAGGACCAGAAGAGATTAAGTTGGCCACCTACGCCACTTCCCGGGAGTGTCCGGCAAGGCGTGTGAGCTCATCAATGTCACGTGGTAATAACGATCAGGGGTGGACAACCAGCTCTGTGCGGTCCCTTAGCCTGCTCGTTTAACCCTTGTTCAAAATGGTGCTGCGACGCAGGTACCATTGGCATATGGTTGGAGATGGTCGCAGGTCACTGGGTTCGTTTTATCCCTTGCCCATTTATATGAGATTGACGCCATCTGATTAGTAGAAAAAAGTGCGTATGATAGTGTCCAATAGTGTATTACGTGCATACTTGGTATAACAAGTAACTGTAATAGCAGATAGAGATTCCAGGATTATAGATGTAAGTCATTCATCTGAGAGCGGTGATGATTTTAGATATAATGGTGGTGATCAGGGATGATGTGGGATTGCGTTTAAGTTATGTTAGCGTTAGTTCTATCTTCCTCTGCTCCAATGAGTCACAAGGGACGTGGGCACCCTCTGTCCCGTTCCCTACTGGAACCATATTTACGG